GTGCGTGGTGCGTGCATGCGTGCGTGCGTCGTAGCGTCGTGCTGCGTGCCAGCGTGATTGCGTGCGCAGCGTAATTGCGTGCGTGCGCAGCGTGAATTGCGTGCGTGCGTGCTTGTGCATGCCGTGTGCGCGGTGCGAGTGCGTGGCGTGGTGCGTGCGTGCTTGTGCATTCGTGTGTGCGTTGTGCGCGTGCAGTGCGTGCGTGGCGCAGTGCTTGTGCACTGCGTGGTGCGTGCGTGATTGCGCTGGTGTGCGTGCGTGCCGTGGCTGCGTGCGTGCGTGTGCGCGTGCGTGCGTGCGTATTGCGTGCGTGCGTGCGTGTGTGCGTGCGTGTGTGCTCGCGGGTGCGTGCGTGTGTGCGTCCTTTTTTTATGACTATACGTTATCAGCATGCTAATTCAGGAGCAAAGGAATGAGGATAAGAGGAGAATATATTCGCACACATGTATGTACGTGCGTGCGCCGACAGCGCGTTTCTATGGCAAATCTCGCCTCTTAAGAGGAGCAGTAGAAAGAAAGGGAAAAAGAAGGAAAGAAGGAGAGATGGAGATAATAGAAATACAGATAGAGAAGAAGAAGAAGAAGATGAAGATGACAGAAGAGAGAGGAAAGAAGAAGAAGAGAAAAGAAGAAAAGAGAAGAGAAAAAAGAAGACGAAGAAGGGAGAAAGAGAGAGAGAGATTAAGAGCAAGGGGCTATTTTATCAATATTGTACGAGATAATTAATTCTCAATATTTAAAACCATTTACGGACAAGAAATTTGCTCAAACTCTTGCCCAGCGTGCGTCACTACAGCATGCAGCGCCTTATTTGTGTTGACAGCAGATCATTATTTCTATAGAAAATACAGTGATCGATAATCCGGAAGAGATAAGAGAAGCAAGAAATTTGCTAAAACGCTTGCCCACCGTGCGTCGCTACAGCAGCGCCTTATTTGCGTTGACAGCAGGTCATTATTTCTATCGAAAATACAGTGATCGATAATCCCTGGGCGGACCCTGGGAAAGCGTACGTAATTAGTTCCCTAACTAGTCATCAGATGGCGCACGGCATCAGGATAATTTTTAATTTTAGAACATAAGTAGTATACATTTTACAAATATTGGGTAGAAAACTTGACGCTATAAGTGTTTCTTATTTAAATTGTGTATTTTATTTTGTTTTTGTGCTGGAATTCTATTTTTTATTGAGTTCCCGCCAAGCATTTTTCAGTATTTTCAAACATGGCAGCCTCCTCATTTGGGCGTTCATTTTGTTCTCTCTTGTGAGAAAACGGGCGAAAATCTGTCGACATATCCCGTGTTAGCGTAAACCGCATACACTCTGTCGAACTGTGACATTTCGTGCTTCGCCTGGGTAAGAAATCCGAGAGAAATCTGCAAAATCGTGCGAGTAACTGATGAATTTTGGTGAACGAATTCGATCCCGTTCGGCCGCCATTTTTGTTGTGTCAAAGGCTACGGTGACCAGAGTTTCGTCTGTGATGGCACTTGAAAAACGCACCGCACGGTGTCGTTACGTGCAGATCCGAGTACTTTTCACTAAAAACAACGAGCAGTTGTCAATGTGGAATAGATTCGAGTCTCACGGCAAAGTAGAAGTGGAAAATTAACTCTTGTTCAAGTGACTGGAATTGTGGAAAAATGCCCTGTCACCGGCAGCATTCTTTCTGCACCGTGTGTAAAACACAGAAAAACTGACATTCTCCCAATCCTTTCTTTTACAGAATTGAAATATAATGTCAGAGATCGAGCCGCCCAAGAAACGGGTAAGAAAAAGTCGTATTTAAAAAAAATATTGGAAGCGGTTTAATTTTAAAATTTTAATTATGTGAAACGGTGCTTGTGCGGACACTTTAAACTCGATCATATATGTAATTGATATTAGTCTTATTCTCCATATATATATATATATATGCATTCATGTTATCCTCGTGGTTCCTGCATTCCATCTCACTACTTGTAAGTAATATATAGGTACCCTGAATAATTTAATAGTTGCAGTTACAGTAACGCGAGCCGACCGCAAACTCAAACAGGTGTAGCAGCGGACGTCTAGCGAAAGCTCTCCGCGTCGTTGGCCCGGCGGCGCCACCTACCTTCAAAACACCGGCCGGTCATTGATCGCCGTCGCGTGACGACGGTAACGATCGATGGTTAACTCGCCGCTCGATCATCGGAGACCGCAACCCACCTCCGATCAACGACCGCTCATTCAAGCCACCGCTTGTTCGTCGTCGCCGACAACTGACCAAACGATCACCGATCGATCGATCGCCCGCGAATAAAGCCACCGCACATTCGCCCGAAACCGGCCGCCGACGACCGCTTGATCTTCCGCGAACAACGTCACCGCACGATCGCGAAAATCCGACGGACGAACGATCGATCGCCGGCATCTAACGTTACCGCTTGTTCGTCCTGCAGCCGACCGCTCGATCCCCGTCCGGCGACTAACGTTACCGCTTGTTCGTCTAGCAGCCGACCGCTCGATCACCGCGTCTAACGTTCTCCCGCTCCGTGTCTTCCCGCAGGTGAAATACGCGAGGGAAGAACTGGAGGCGTTGGACAGGGAGCGCTTGATCGCCGCGTGGCTCGTCCAGCAGACCCACGTCGACGCGCTCGAACTGAAGGCACGCTGCGGCGACGCGACGACGATCGACAGTAAGCAGCGCCCTCTACCTCGCCGCCGCGTCGTCGGGACTCGTTCCTCGGGGGGTAGATGGCGTAAAAATAACATCGGAGCGTTCGTCCGATGGAAGCCTCGGCGAGAGATGGATCTCGTTGTTGCACCAGGGCGAGCGAGGAGAGAAGAGTCTCTTTATAATGAAGGAGGGAGACAGAGAGAGAAGGGGAACGAAGGCGGGCGGCGGTCGTCTGCCGCCGCGTCGCGAGATAAGCGTGCGAAAACGCTGTCTGCCTTCGGAGAACGAGAGCGAGACGGTAGCAGACGAATTGTCGAATTGGTCTCGAGAGAGCGAGAGGTCGAGACGTGGCGGTATAGCCTTTCGCTCGCAGGAGAGAAGCGTACGTGCGCAGGGAACAGTAGCATCCGCCACGTGACAACAACTTGGTTAGCGTTGTTTGCGGCGGCGGCACCTAGATGGCGCACCGGGCGCGGCGTGCGATTTCGGGCCGCAAATTCGGAAGTAGCTCGCCGCCGGGTCGAAAGCTAGGCCGTCGTAGCCCCGTGTGACCCACGATATAGTAGGTCTGCGTCTCCAAATACCCCTGCCGTCAAGGCGTACCCCTGTATGAAGCTGCGTTTACACTACCGACTTTGTGTTAACGAATTGGCGAATTGGACCAACTTCCCAACTGCCATTCGATTGGCAACATAAACGCGAAAGTCGCGCTAACAACCGATCGGCAGCAAATAGTTGGGAGATTAGAGCATGTTCTATTTTCGCCAACTCGGAGTTGCCGAATTGCGAAATTGGCGCCAATTCGCCAACGTAAAGTCGGGAGTGTAAACCCAGCTTAGCGAGCCGTTGGCGTGACGACCGTAGCGGCGGCTGTGGCCAGGACGGAGACACGGAGGGGGAAGCCGTTGCACCGGATCGGTGCGCGGTAGCTCACGCGTTTTCCGCGTCGGGTGTTTCCGCATCGCCGTCGGGCGTTGACGAGCATATATCTCGTTATCTCCCACGCGGGTGTTGACGAGCATATATCTCGTTATCTCCCACGCGGGTGTTGACGAGCATATATCTCGTTATCTCCCACGCGGGTGTTGATGAGCATATATCTCGTTATCTCCCACGCGGGTGTTGACGAGCGAATATCTCGTTATCTCCCGCGCGGCTGTTGAGATATTGCGCTGTGTCGTATCTCTTTGTCGAGGGACTGATTGGCGCCGTTTTGCCGTGGTGATTTTTAATTAGTACCGTGTTATAATGGCGATGAATGGGGTTCGGAAAATCACGGTCGCTTAGAAGCGTTATAGCGCGGATATTAAACTTTATAATTAGGAAAGTAATTAACGATTTCGCACAATGCTAGGCGAATGTACTGTGTACGATTTGAGCTCAAGTTGGTTGAGTTACACGTAGTAAATCGCAGGTATTCTAAGGCTAGTAAATAACGAATTTCCCTTGTTTATTGAAGTCACACTCCTTCCCTATTATTTACTTCTGATTATACGGTACAGCGGGTTTCTACTGTATCTGATCCTGTATTTACTATCGCGTATCAGTATATACTATCTATCTAGTGTTATCGTTGTGGGTTGAGGGATTAGTCAGTGCAGCTATGTAGGGACTGGGTAGTGTTGCTGCGCAAAGGACAGAAAGATGCGATATGATATGACTACTAGGCACTTTAATTTAATTTTCTTTTTTTCTTTTTTTCGGGTTATGGTTTAGGTTAGGTTTAGGGTTTAGGTTAGGTTAGGGTTAGGGTTAGGATTGTTTTTGTTTTTTTAAGTGCCTAGTAGTCATATCCTAAGTGCCTAGTAGTCATATCATATCGCATCTAACTGCCGGGTGCTGTTGCTGCTGTTAGTGTTTCACGTGAACGCACATGGTCTGTTACTGCAGACCGAATGTTGACCAGCGTATATCTCGTCATCTCCCGCGCAGGCGTTGACCAGCATATATATCCAGGGTTCTCCCCAGGGTGAAATTCAAACAGGGGGGAGGGGAGGGGAAGGGGGAG